TTTGGGCCTCGCTCCCCGGAGCCGGCAGCCCCTGAGCTTCCTCTCCCCGCGCAGGTCTGTGGTGCAAGAGCCTCCTTCAGGATTACGCCGACGCCTGCCGGGATGTGGCCCTTGGCTTCAAGGAGCGGCCTGGGAAAGCCGGACTCTACCTCTCGCTGCTGGCCGGAGCCACCGTCTGCAGCCTCCACGTCCCCTGCGACGCCTCGTTCGAGTCCTCCCTCCTCGAAGCCTCGGGCATCCTCCTCCTGCTCTCCCCCTGGATCCGGAACGGCAGCTCCGAGGGGCACGTCCAGCGCCTGATGAAGCTCCGGAACCAGGGGCGGCTGCGCTACCAGAGCCTGGTCTTCTTCTCCCTCGTCTACCAGGCCCCCTTTGATGCGGAAGCGGCTCTGTACCAGGCTCACTGCAAACACCTGAAGCCGCGCTGGACGGACTTTCCCGCCCGGATCCTGGACGTGGGGTTCTTGGGCCGCTGGTGGGTTTTAAGTTCGAAAATGAAGGATTCCGACATCAACGAAGAGGAATTCAAGTATCTCCCTGAGCATCTCAGGACCATCTCCTCCCGGAACCTCCACTCGGCAGCCAACGAAAAACTCTTTGACGAGAAATACAAACCCGTCATCCTGACAGAGGAGCAGATTGAGCGGGCGGAAAAGGAGGAGCGGCAGCCACTTCAGGGGGCCTTAAACCAATGATCTGAACAAAGAGACTTCCGGTTTCGGTGGGCTCCCGGGGCCAGTCGGTCTGGGAGCTGGCGCTGGGTGGGGGGGAGATGAAATACAAAAAGAATCCGGTAATGAAATATAATTGTGCTCATGGCCCAACTGTGCTGAGCTCAATAAATCAGTTCTGTGAGTTTTCCAGTCACCAATGAGCTGTTCCTGGGATCCGTTAGCCACTGGCTCCCCTTAACTCGCGGTCACCATGCTGGCCCGATGTTGGGCGTTCCAGTCTAAGGCTGGTCCGTATAAAGGAGCTGTATCCAAGAGGGTTCCTCAGTCACGGGCCTGGCTCTAAAGAACGGCCAGACTGGGTCAGACCAAAGGTCCATCTAGCCCCGTGTCCTGTCTGCCGACAGTGGCCAATGTCAGGTGCCCCAGAGGGAATGAACAGAACAGGGCAATTATCGTGTGATCTATCCCCTGTCGTCCAGTCCCAGCTTCTGACAGTCAGCGTCTTAGGGATACCCAGAGTATGGGGTCCCTGCCCATCTTGGCTAATAGCCATCGATGGACCTACCCTCTATGAACTTATCTAGTTCTATTTTAAACCCAAGTATTCTTTTGGCCTTCACAACATCCCCTGGCAATGAGTTCCACAGGCTGACTGTGCGTTGTGTGAAGAAATACTTCCTTGTGTTTGTTGTAAACCTGCTGCCTGTTCATTTCATTGGTGACCCCTGGTTCTTGTGTTTATATGAAGGGGTAAATAACACTTCCCTATTCACTTTCTCTACCCCATTCATGACTTGACAGACCTCTCTCACATCCCCCCTTAGTTGCCTCTTTTCAAAACTGAACAGTCCCCGTCTTTTTAATTTCTCCTCATACAGAAGCCATTCCATACCCCTGATCGTTTTTGTTGCCCTTTTCTGAACCTTTTCCAATTCTAATGTATCTTTTTTTGAGATGGGATGACCAGAACTGCATGCAGTATTCAAGGTGGGGATGTACCATGGATTTATATAGAGGCATTATGATATTTACTGTCTTCTAATCCATCTCTTTCCTAATGGTTCCTCACATTCTGTTCGCTTTTTTGACTGCCGCTGCACATTGAGAGGATGTTTTCAGAGAACTCTCCACAGTGACTCCAAGATCTCTGTCTTGAGTAGTAACAGCTAATTTAGACCCCATCGTTTTATACGTATAGTTGGGATGATGTTTTCCAATGTGCGTTACTTTGCATTGATCAACACTGAATTTCATCTGCCATTTTGTTGCCCAATCACCCAGTTTTGTGGGTTCCCTTTGTAGCTCTTCCCAGTCTGCTTTGGACTTAACTATCTTGAGTAATTTTGTGTCTGCAATTTTTGCCACCTCGCTGTTTACCCCTTTTTGCAGATCATTTGTACATCTGTCCCAGTACAGATCCCTGGGGGACTCACTGTTTACCTCTGTCCATTCTGAAACGTAAATGGAGATCAGTAGTCCATGAAGGTCAGTAGCTGCTGATTCTGCGCTCTAGAATCATTGCTTTCATATTACTTATGGCTCCTTAGACAAAAAGTAAGACTTCAGCGTGCGTGCTGGTCTTCAGGGGGCATGCCCAGAGCATGCATTGAAAGGGATAGATCCGGTTAGTCTCTAGCCGCCAGGCCTGACTCCTAGACGATATTTGTCTCTCTAGCGTGAAAAGAGCTTGCTCGCTGACATTCGTGCCTCTACACCGACCTGAGCGAACAGCCGACTTTGGGTCATGGGCCAAACCAAAAAACCTTGTGGATGGATTAAAACGTTCCCTTTGACCCACAACCACGTTTGGTTTTTACTTCTTTTCACTCTTTAAAAAAACAGCGAAATGAAACTGAAGCCAATTTCTAACCAAAAGCCTCTTTGAATCAAAACGTTGGGTATTGAAAATGGCGGTGTGCAACGTTTCAATTTCTGACGATTTTTTTCCCCAACCAAAGCGCTTTGGCGAATTTGACCCAATTTTAGGGTCCTAGCAACACGAATTAGCAAAATGTTTCCATCGATCCAAACCTGCATTTTTTGTTGTTGTTGGTGGTGGTGGTGAAAAAAAATGTCTGTAAAATTTCACCTCGTTTTAGTTTTCAGAACCAGTGGAAACTTTTTCCTGTTGGATCCTAAAGAGACAGCAGAGGGCACTAGAGAATTAAGGGAAAACTTCGGCAGACGAGTAGCGCTACCTTTGCAGTTCTCTTGTGGGCGGACGTTCTCTGGAGCAATGGGCCGTGGCTGGGTTGGCCCCCCTGGGGATGGGGCCACGATCAATTTGTGGGTGTTGCGGATCTGCCCCAGCTTTGGGGGAACTGCCAGTCCAGGGACTGATAGAATCGCCCTGGGGCAATCGGCACTTCTCTCTTCTGGGAAAGGTGATGGGGGAAGGCGGGAAGAGAACATGGCTTCACAGGCCAACCTGACTGTTCGGCGGCTGGGTTGGAATTGCGAGGCTGCGTACAGGCGCACGTCGGGTTCTTCTGAATTCTGTCCTAATGATTTATTAACCCATTTAATAAGTGATCAAACAGCTGCAGGGGCTGGGCTCTGAGAGGCTTTCACAGCGGAGCGATTCCTCTTTGAGTCGCCGGAGTCTTTGACCGCGGCACGTCGGCTCAGCCTGCCTTTGAGCTCCGCTCAAGACAATAACTGGCCTCTGGGCTGTGCTGACTCTGTTCTCTGAAGGCCCCTTTAGGCCGATCTGGGTCCTCTGACAAGCCCTGCTGGGAAGGGGCCTTCCTCCTGGCCCTGCACCCGCCTTGTTTCCAGTCTCGGGTGTGGAGGGGAAAATCAGGAGAGCAACCAGAGCTTGCTGCATTACAGCTATTCTCTGCTTCCCAGGGGGCAGAGCTTGAGTTAGAGCAGCCCCAACGCAGCTCTAACTTACACCAGGGGTCAGGCAGCCCCAGAATGCAGGAGCGCAAAGGGAACTTCAAGCCACCAAACTCCTTTCCTTCCCCAAGCACAGGGAGAGGGGAGCTGAGAATCAGACCCACAACTGAGCCAGTGCTCGGGCCTCACTTGGAGAATGAGAGATGGGGTCGGTGTGTTAGACACACACTATGGGTGTGTCTCTGTAAAGCTAGAAAGCCCATGAGCGTGTGACTGCGCATGTGAGGAAAGAGGGAGGTGTGTGGTATGAGGAGAGGAAAGCTAGAAAAATCTGTGTGTGTGAGAGCCCAGAGAGATACAAGGGAGGGGGGGGGTGTTCGCAGTGATAGAACTGTAGGTTCTGGGCGTGAGAGAACTGGAGAGGCACGGAGATGCCGTGAGCGGGAGCGTGCTCGTTCTGGGAAAAGAACGACCCATGATCTCACCATTTGCTGTCCAGCAGTCAGGCATGTGGGACGAGGCCCAGCTGACCGGGAGCTTCAGTAAATCCCACTGCAGGAACAGCCTGTCTCTGGCGGTGGGTGGGAACGGGAGCCCTGCAGTTCTGATCTGTGCATAAGCTCTCAGCGCCTTTGGGACAAAACGGCTCTCCTAACCCAAACGGCTCTGAAGGTCTCCGCGCAGCAATATCTGCTGTGTAAACACAGAGGAAATTTGGGTTTTAGTAGCAAACGGTCCCTGTTCTGTGTTTCTTACTCTCCTTTGGCACGAGCTGTATTGCTCCTACCTGGTTAATTTCACGCCGTAGCGTGTTTGTCATGCAGGCCTTTCCTTTATTGCCTTCCCCTTGCTCCTGGCAGCCGTCCGTTTCAGAGAAAACGCCGTTGTCTTTAGCAGAATCGAGCTCTACGCACCAAATAACACCCCTGTCTCCGATCTCGGTGCTGCTTCCGTCCGATGCAGAATTTGTCTTTGCACCTGGTATGAAACTGCTGGGAAGTGTTTGATGTGAGCTGTTTAACAAGCCCAGAGGTGGCTGCATTTTAGCAGCGGATGAAATTGTATCTCCGTCTTCAAAACTGGAATCATTATACACCTCTACCCCGATATAACGCGACCTGATATAACACGGTAAAGCAGCGCTCCGGTGGGGCGGGGCTGCACGCTCCGGCGGATCAAAGCAAGTTCGATATAACGCTGTTTCACCTACAACGGGGTAAGATTTTTTTTGCTCCCGAGGACAGCGTTATATCGGGGTAGAGGTGTACCTCCTTTCTTCCCACCCTTGGTTTATTCAGACTGAGCTCTGCAGAGCAGGGACTGTCCCTTGCGTAGTGTTTGCGCAGCGCCCAGCACAATGGGGTCTCCATTCTCAGTCAGGGGGCTTTGCAGCGCCTGCCACAACAGGGGCCCTGATCTTGGCTGGTGGTCTGTGCAGCGCCTGGCACCACGAGGACGCTGATCTCCTTAGCTTATAATAGACACTGGGACCCTTTAGGCTGAAAAGCTCACCACATAAGTACTCCACTTAGGGGCATCTGGGAAACTGCAGACTCGATGGCCAATACATTACACCCGTTAGTGACGATCTCTATTCTAGGTGGAACTGTGGCTTATTTCCCTGGTTCCAACCATCCTATTCAATGCAGCTCAATCCACAGGCCTCCTTTTCTGTTGATGTAAAAGTCACAGCTTCGGCCGTGCAGGTCCCTTGCATTGACACCCCGAGACAGGCCAGCGTCAGTTTCTTTACCACTATTGTGTTTTCTGTTGCCATTTACTTCGCTGCGGTGGCATTTGCTAGATCCCCAGGCCAGTAGCCGTCGCTGTGACCATCCAGTCTGACCAGGTCAGAGCCCTGCCCCCAATTACTTCCTAGAGCGGAGCTTTTAGGGGCACGTCCAAGCAGTGATGGAGAATCTACCCCCACACTTGGTACGTTGTTCCGAGGAGCTATTTCAGCAAGGGGCACTCGAGCGGATTGGGGGCTGGTTTGAGGAAGCAGCAAGTAATCTTGGGGGCTTTCTCGTGATAAAGGGTTTGGATGGAACTTGCTGTTTTTGGCCTCGTGCCGCTGCTATCCAGGGGCTGTAGGAGCCACAACATACGGCTTGTTACCAAATCAAACCAGTGCTGGTTTCTGGTGCCCCGACATGGCCCCCCGGGCGGAGTTTTCTTTGTTTCAAGCACCAGAGCCCAGGGCGCCGTAAAGAGGTGAGGCCGAGATCCCTTCAGCAAAAGGGCAACTGGGGATCTTGATTTTACGTTCATGTGTTTGGGTGACTTCGGGGGTGGGAGGAAGAGATGTGTTTCCCCACGCTGGGAATGTTCAAAGGTAGAAGGAAAGTGACC